TAGCGCTGGCATATTACAGTAAGCAGAATATTGTTGCACTAATCTGACTGGTATGAACCCAAAAGCAGCTGAAACAGGTCTCTATCAATTTAGAAAGTTTATTTTGGCCCAGCACAGTGGCACATCTGTAATAGTAGCACGTTACGAGGCCAAGGTGGATGGATTGCTTGGGCCCAGGAATTCGAGACCAGCCTGGGCAACACAGCAAGACCCTATCTCTACATTTAAAAAAAAAACAAACAAACGCCTAGGCTCAGTGGCTCAGGCCTGTAATCCCAGCACTTTGGGGGACCGAGGCGGGCAGATCACCTGGCATCAGGAGTTTGACACCAGCCTGGCCAACATGGTGAAACCCCATCTGTACTACAAATACAAACATTAGCTGGGCATGGTGGTTCGCGCCTGTCATCCCACCAACTCGGGAATCTGGGGCAGGAGAATCATTTGAACCCGGGAAGCGGAGGTTGCAGTAAGCCAAGATTGGACGACTGCACTCCAGCCTGGGCGACACATCAAGACTCCGTCTCAAGGAAAAAAAAAAGAAAGAAAGAAAGAAAGAAAAAAGAACTTTTATTTTGCCAAGGTTAAGGACATGCCCATGACGCAGCCTCAGGAGTGTGCCCAAGGTTGTAGAAGGGAATGTCTGGGTTACAATAAGTGGTTGTGGCGACCAAGGTTTTATCATGCAGATGAAACCTCCAGGTGGCAGATTTAAGTGAGAATAGATTGTAAATGTTTCTTATCAGACTTAAGGTCTGTGTTGATGTTAATGCTAGTCAGCTTTTCCTGAATTCCAAAAGGAAGGAGGGTGTCATGAGACAAGTTCGAGGCTCCCCTAACACCTGCTTCCATCATGGCCTGAACTCATTTTTCAGCTTCATTTTGGAATGCTCTTGGCAGAGAGGAGGGGTCCATTCAGATGGCTGGGGACCCTTAGAATTTTATTTTTGGTTTTACTCTTGTATATAGTGAACAGAATCGACAGAAGTCTGTCTTGTGCGGTTTTTATTCTGGGGGACACAACACAGTAAGTGCAATATCTATGATCTCATCTGGTGATAAAAACTTAGGCGCCGGGCGCGGTGGCTCACACATGTAATCCCAGCACTTTGGGAGGCCGAGGCGGGCGGATCCCCTGAGGTCGGGAGATCAAGACCAGCCTGGCCAACATGGTGAAACCCTGTCTCTACTAAAATCCGAAAATTAGCTGGGCGTGGTGGCAGACGCCTGTAATCCCAGCTACTCAAGGGCTGAGGCAGGAGAATCGCTTGAACCTAGGAGGCAGAGGTGGAAGTGAGCCGAGATCATACCACTGCACTCCAGCCTGGGCATCAGAGCCAGACTCCGTCGCAAAAAAAAAAAAAAAAAAAAAAAAAAAAAAAATTAGCTACCTCTCCCATCCAGAAATGGGAGTCGAGGCTTCTGACTTCCCGGGCTCAATTTATCCTCCCGCCTCAGCCTCTTGAGGAACTGGGACTACAGACGTGCACTATCACACTTGGCTAATTTTTTTTTTTTTTTTTGAGATGATGTCTTGCTCTGTGCCCAGGCTGGAGTACAGTAACACAATCTCAGCTCACTGCAACCTCCGCCTCCTGGGTTCAACCGATTCTCTTGCTTCAGCCTCCCAAGTAGCTGGGATTATAGGCGTGCCCCACAACGTCCAGCTAATTTTGTATTTTTAGTAGAGACGGGGTTTCACCATTTTAGCCAGGCTAGTCTCAAACTCCTGACCTCAAGTGATCCACCCACCTCAGCCTCGCAAAGTGCTAGGATTATAGGTGTGAACCACTGTGCCTGGCCAATTTTTGTATTTTTTTTGTAGAGATGGGGTTTCACTATGTTGCCCAGGCTGGTCTTGGACTACTGGCCTCCTTCCTTGGCCTCCCAAAGCATTGGGATTACAGGTGTGAGCCACCACACCTAGCCTGGAGTTTTCCCTTCTCCTGTGACCACCTATTACTGTTCATGTCTCATCACCACCAGTGCTTTTTGTTCTTTTTAACTGACCCTGTATGGACCACTTGTGTCTGAAGCTGGGCATGGTGGCATGCTCCTGTAGTTCCAGCTACTTTGGAGGCTGAGGCCAAGGATCACTTGAGCCTAGGAGTTCTAGGCCAGCCTAGACCCAGTGTCTTTAAAAAAAAAAAAAAAAAAAAAAAGATTATATATGTATTTGCTTGTATCTCACTAGGTAACTGATGACTGTGGCTGCCTCCAATGGGGAAGAAGGGAGACATCTGTCCTTTCTGAATGTTGTAACAGGAACATATATTACCTATTCAAAAATGAAATGAAATTAAAATATAAAGGGGAGAGGTCTGGATTCAGAAAAGATTAAGAAAAAGCTCTGGGCTGGGCGCGGTGGCTCAAGCCTGTAATCCCAGCACTTTGGGAGGCCAAGACGGGCGGATCACGAGGTCAGGAGATGGAGACCATCCTGGCTAACACGGTGAAACCCCGTCTCTACTAAAAATACAAAAAAAAATTAGCCGGGTGTGGTGGCGGGCGCCTGTAGTCCCAGCTACTCGGGAGGCTGAGGCAGGAGAATGGTGTGAACCCGGGAGACGGAGCTTGCAGTGAGCTGAGATCCGGCCACCGCACTCCAGCCTGGGTGGCAGAGCAAGACTCCATCTCAAAAAAAATAAAATAAAATAAAAAATAAAAAAAGAAAAAGCTCTATAGCCCTGGGGTTTTTACCCACTCTGAGATTGTGTGGTTTGGAGACATCTGTGAACAAGTGGGTTAAACTCACCTGGACCCATGATTGATTAGGTCTAATAGTTGCTCAGTCATAGCCACCTGGAAGTGGGATGGGAGTGCAGTGGGGGAGGGGTGTGGGAAGTGGGGACCTTGGAGGTAGTGAATGCCTTATCATTGTGCTGGGTGCTCAGAAACAGGAGCATTTCTTTTCTTTTCTTTTCTTTTTTTTTGAGACAGAGCCTCACTCTGTTGCCTAGGCTGGAGTGCAGTGGCGCGATCTTGGCTCACTGCAAGCTCCACCTCCCAGGTTCATGCCATTCTCCTGCCTCAGCTTCCTGAGTAGCTCGGACTACAGATGCCCGCCACCATGCCTGGATAATTTTTTGTATTTTTAGTAGAGATGGGGTTTCTCCATTTTGGTCAGTCTGGTCTCGAACTCCTGACCTCAGGTGATCTGCCCACCTTGGCCTCCCAAAGTGCTGGGATTACAGGCATGAACCACTGCGCCTGGCCCCCTTTTTTCTTTTCTTTTTTTTTTTTTTGGAGACGGAGTCTCATTCTGTCGCCCAGGCTGGAGTGCAGGGGCTGGATCTCAGCTCACTGCAAGCTCTGCCTCCCAGGTTTACACCATTCTCCTGCCTCAGCCTCCCGAGTAGCTGGGACTACAGGCGCCCGCCACCTCGCCCGGCTAGTTTTTTGTATTTTTTAGTAGAGACAGGGTTTCACCGTGTTAGCCAGGATGGTCTCGATCTCCTGACCTCATGATCCACCCATCTCGGCCTCCCAAAGTGCTGGGATTACAGGTTTAAGCCACCGCGCCCGGCCCCCCTTTTTTTCTTTAACAGCTTTATTGAGAGATGATTCACATACCATAAAATTCACCCATTTAAATTGTACAACTTGGATGGGTGTGGTGGCTCACACCTGTAATCCCAGCACTTTGGGAGGCCAAGGTGGGCAGATCACTTACGGCTAAGAGTTTGAGACCAGCCTGACTTACTTGGCAAAACCCTGTCGCTACTAAAAATACAAAAATTAGCCAGGAGTGGTGGTGTATGCCTATAATCCCAGCTACTCAGGAGGCTGAGGCAGGAGAATCACTTGAACCTGGGAGGCAGAGGTTGCAGTGAGCCGAGATTGCACCACTGCACTCCAGCCTGGGAGACAGAGCGAGACCCTGTCTCAAAAAAAAAAAAAAAAAAAAAAGTGATAATACTGATTTTCTGTTCCTTGCTATAATTATCCTTACCTCCCAGAGGCCTGCTGTGATTGCTCCCAGCCACCCCAGTCTCTGTCACTTCTCACAAGGTGGAATAGTGTATCTATTGGGAGAGTCATTTATTTCACCAATATTTGAGTTCCTGGTGGGTACAAATCAAATAGAAATTATAATTCCAGCTAGGCATGCTGGTTTACACCTGTAAACCTCAGCCTCCTGGGTTCAAGCGATTCTCCTGCCTCAGCCTCCTGAGTAACTGGGATTACAGGTACCTACCATCACACCTAGCTAATTTTTGTATTTTCAGTAGAGATGGAGTTACATCATGTTGCCCAGGCTGGTCTCGAACTCCCGACCTCAAGAGATCCGCCCGCCTTGGCCTCCCAAAGTGCTGTGTTAGTAAAGGCATGAGCCTCCCAGGGTGCTGGGATTACAGGCGTGAGCCACTCTGCCTGGCCTTTCCCTCTTTATTCTGGCAATCCAGTTCCCCAGCGTGTCCTTACTACCATTCCCATTATACTCCTCCCAATCACCCTGTTTGAGGATGAGGAAACAGGGTGCTGAGGATGGATTAGGAGTCCGAGGACATGGGTGCCCTCTCTGACTTACTCTTGCGACCAGGGCGCAAATGGGGCTGGGGGCTGGGAGGAGGCGAGCTGGTCTTCCCCTCCATCCGCCTCTCTCCCTTCCCTGGGAAAATCCAACAGGTGGTGGGGCCGCGGCGCTGTGGGCCATTGTGCGGGCCCTGGGAGGGTCGGAGGGCCCAGTGTGTGTCTGGGAGAAGATGGATGCCTTCATTACCATGTGAATCCTGGGAAACCGCTGCCTAGGCTGGGTGGTGGGTGGGCGTGGGCCGCGGGTCGGGGGGCTTGGTGTTCTCAGGCCCAGACCACACAGCGGCTGGGAAGGGGGGGGCGGTCTGGTGGAATCCCGAGAGACCCATTAAAAAACAACAACGACAACACCCAAAAACCAGAACAGATCATGGACTTCTCCTCTTCTTTAATGTCTTATTTTAGGACATTTCTATCCTGTGGGGCTTAAGAGAGACACAGACTGGGAAAAAAAAATTATTTTATTTTTTATTGAAAGCGTCACGAATTTGTGTGTCATTCTTGCTCTGGGGCAATGCCAATCTCTGTCTAGTTCCAATTTTAGTATATGTGCTGCCAAAGAGAGCACCGAAACCAATTTTATTAAGGAAGTAAAAACTCTCGTGGTTTTTCTTTTTCTTTTGGCTTTCCCTGTTGCAACTTCCCCAGATCGTGCTGCCCGTTTGGGCCTGAACAGAAAAATCTGAGCCTTTGACAGCATGCGCACAATCAGCAGCTCTGTGGAGGCATTCCCAGGAGCACTTTCCCCCAGTGGCTTCACTCTGGATGATTAGCAAATAGCTGCTGAGCAAATTGGAAGAAGCAGGTTTTAGGCTTGAAAACAAAGCTGTCGTCAATTTGGCCAGAGCAGAGAAGACCGGCTGGTGTTTTGGAAGGGGGCAGGTAGCAGAGAGAAGAATAATCAGAATAATAACAAGGACCACTGACTAATTTATCCCCATTTTACAGATGCGGAAACAGCCTTTGAATCAGTTGGCCAAATCACACAGGGAGAGAATGGCACAGAATTCCAAACCCTGTTTCTCTAATTGCAGAGTCTGTGCTCTTTCTGGGGTTTCTCCATGAGGCCAGAAGAGAGGAAGCCACAGAGAGGCCGCTGCAGAAACAGACTGTGCGGGGTCTCATGCCTGTAATCCCAGCACTCTGGGAGGCCGAGGAAGGAGGATTGCTTGAGGTTAGGAGTTTGAGATCAGCCTGGGCAATATAATGAGACCCTGTCTCTACAAAAATATTAAAAAATTGGCCGGGCGCGGTGGCTCAAGCCTGTAATCCCAGCACTTTGGGAGGCCGAGACGGGCGGATCACGAGGTCAGGAGATCGAGACCATGCTGGTTAACACGGTGAAACCCCGTCTCTACTAAAAAAATACAAAAAATTAGCTGGGTGAGGTGGCGGGCGCCTGTAGTCCCAGCTACTCGGGAGGCTGAGGCAGGAGAATGGCGTGAACCCGGGAGGCGGAGCTTGCAGTGAGCTGAGATCCGGCCACTGCACTCCAGCCTGGGTGACAGCGCGAGACTCCGTCTCAAAAAAAAAAAAAAATTAAAAAATTAGCCTGGCCGGACGCGGTAGCTCACACCTGTAAGCCCAGCACTTTGGGAGGCCGAAGCGGGTGGATCACGAGGTCAGGAGATCGAGACCTTCCTGGCTAACACGGTGAAACCCCATCTGTATGAAAAATACAAAAAATTAGCTGGGCGTCCTAACGGGCGCCTGTAGTCCTAGCTACTTGGGAGGCTGAGGCAGGAGAATGGCCTGAACCTGGAAGGCAGAGCTTGCAGTGAGCCGAGATCTCGCCACTGCACTCCAGCCTGGGCGACAGAGCGAGACTCGGTCTCAGGAAAAAAAAAAAAAAAAAAAAAAAAAGAATTAAAAAATATTGCCGGGCGCGGTGGCTCAAGCCTGTAATCCCAGCACTTTGGGAGGCCGAGACGGGCGGATCACGAGGTCAGGAGATCGATACCATCCTGGCGAACACAGTGAAACCCCGTCTCTACTAAAAAATACAAAAAACTAGCCGGGCGAGTGGCGGGCGCCTGTAGTCCCAGCTACTCGGGAGGCTGAGGCAGGAGAATGGCGTAAACCCGGGAGGCGGAGCTTGCAGTGAGCTGAGATCCGGCCACTGAACTCCAGTCTGGGCGACAGAGCGAGACTCCGTCTCAAAAAAAAAAAAAAAAAAAAAAAAAAATTAGCCGGGTCAGTGGCACACATATAGTTCTAACTACTTGGGAGGCTGAGGTGGGAGGATTGCTTGAGACCAGGAGCTTGAGAGCTTGAGGCTGCAATGAACTGTGACTGCAGTGAACTGTGACTGCACCACTGTGGGATGATCCAGGCAAAGGGAAGCATGAACCAAAAAAACAAGACCTGAAACACACACACACACACACACACACAGAAAGCAGGGCTGGGTGCGGTGGCTCATGCCTGTAATCCTAGCACTTTGGGAGGTGAAGGCGGGCGGGTCACCTGAGATTGGGAGTTTGAGACCAGCCTGTCCAACATGGAGAAACCCTGTCTCCACTAAAAATACAAAATTAGCCAGGTGTGGTGGTGCATGCCTGTAATCCCAGCTACTCGGGAGGCTGAGGCAGGAGAATCGCTTGAACCCGGGATGCAGAGGTTTCGGTGAGCCGAGATCCCGCCATTCCACTCCAGCCTGGGAAACAAGAGCGAAACTCTGTCTCAAAAAAAAAAGAAAAAAAAAAAAAAGAAAGCAGATGGAACAGCGCACATTCACAAAACTCGCACAGGCAATGCCTTTGCAAAAGCCCTTTTATCAACCCAAACACTTCCACATGATCTCTGTCTCTCTTACACACACCCACACACCAATGCAGGCACTTGCTCACAAATGTTTTCAGAAACACATACTCCTAAACATACTCAGACACAAACACACAATCATGCATTCAGAAACACAACCATATAGAAACCCATCTGCAGCACTGGTCCACATAAGATTTCAACTTCACCCTTACCCACAACGTGTAGAAACCCAAACATTAGCATAGATTCTCCTTTTTTTTTTTTTTTCGTTTGAGAGTCTCATTTTGTCACCCAGGCTAGAATGCAGTGGTATGATCTTGGTTCACTGCAACCTCTGCCTCCCAGGTTCAAGTGCTTCTCCTGTCTCAGCCTCCTAAGTAGATGGGACTATAGGTGCGTGCCACCACACCAGAGTAATTTTTGTATTTTTAGTGCAGACAGGTTTCACCATGTTGACCAGGCTGGTCTTGAACTCCTGACTACAGGTGATCCGCCCGCCTTGGCCTCCCAAATTGCTGGGATAACTGGCATGAGCCACCATACCCAGTCCATTAGAATAGATTCTCACAAGAGCAGGCACTCTCAGTCAAACACCTACCCCCCACCCCAGCATGCACACATAATTGCACAGAGAACCTGTCAAGCAGAAAGGACCCCGGTCAGGCAGAAAGAGGCTCAGCTTCTCCCCCAAACTCCATACCTAAGAATCCTGCTTTCCAGACTCAGTGCCCTGGGTTTTCCCTCACCTTCTCTCCATCTGAGTGTTACCAGTGCCTCCACCTCCCCTCCCCCACTTCAGAGCCCAGCTGGGCCCTGGGGTAGCCTGAGAGGGGGTGGGTGCCCAGCTTCTGGCAGCAAAGGAAAGCACCTGTCTGAGGTGGACGGGCCCATGGGGGTCTTGAAGCAGCACCTTCTCTGGGTACCTCTAACTCTGGGCTGATCCCAGGGGGCACAGAGCTGGGACTGATGGCTTTGGGAAGGCAGTAGGGAGGGCCCACTGAAGACTCCACCAGGCATCCTCTGCAGGGGTCTGCCTTCACATGAAGATAGCCTTGTTTATCACACCTGTCTGCCTTAAAATGACAAAGGTTGGATGCTGTCTGGGTGTGAGATGGGATGATGACTGGAATGGGAAGACGGTTGTTAACTATGGAAAAAATATCTCATTTAGATCTGATTTGGGTTAAAAAAATGATAAGCACAGAAAAAAATATGAAAGTAATCTATGGGTGGCCGAATGTGCTGTTTTATTTTCAATGTTTTTTACATCTATTCTAATTTTCTTTTCTTCTTTTTCTGAGACAGGGTCTCTGTCACCCAGGCTGGAGTGCAGTGGTGCGATCATGGCTCACCTGCGGTTCAGGTGATCCTCCCATCTCAGACTCCTGAGTAGCTGGGACCTCAGGTGTTAGCCACCAGACCAGCTAATTTTCGTATTTTTTTGTAGAGATAGTTTCACCATGTTGTCCATGCCAGTCTGTAACTTCTGGGTTCAAGCGATCCACCTGCCATGGCCTACCAAAGTGCTGGGATTACAGGCTTAAACCGTGGTGCCCGGTCTTTTTGAGACCGAATCTTGCTGTGTTGCACAGGCTGAAGTGCGGTGGCACTATCATGGCTCACAGCAGCCTTGACCTCCCAAGCTTTCTCCTTGGCTCAAACAATCCTCCTGCCTCTGCCTCATGAGTAGCTGAGACTACAGATGTGTGCCATCATTTCTGGCTAATATTTTAATTTTAATTCTGTAAAGATGGAGTCTTGCTATGTTGCTGAGGATGGTTTCAAACACCCGGCCTCAAGCAATCCACACGCCTCGGCATCCCAAAATGCTGGGATTACAGATGTGAGCTACCATGTCCAGCCTAATTTTTTTTTTTGAGACACAGTCTCCTTCTGTTGCCCAGGCTAGAGTGCAGTGGTACAATCTCGGCTCACTGCAACCTCTGCCGCCCAGGTTCAAGCAATCTCCTGCCTCAGCCTCCTGAGTAGCTGGGATTATAGCTGGCCACCACCGCACCTGGCTAATTTTTGTTATTTTTTTAGTAGAGATGGGGTTTCACCATGTTGGCCAGGCTGATCTCAAACTCCTGACCTCATGATCCACCCGCCTCGGCCTCCCAAAGTACTGGGATTACAGGTGTAAGCCACCATCCCCAGCCTTTTTTTTTTTTTTTTTGAGACGGAGTCTCGCTCTGTCGTCCAGGCTGGAGTGCAGTGGCCGGATCTCAGCTCACTGCAGGCTCCGCCTCCCGGGTTCACGCAATTCTCCTGCCTCAGCCTCCCCAGTAGCTGGGACTACAGGCGCCCGCCACCTCGCCCGGCTAGTTTTTTTTGTATTTTTTAGTAGAGACGGGGTTTCACCGTGTCAGCCAGGATGGTCTCGATCTCCTGACCTCGTGATCCGCCCGCCTCGGCCTCCCAAAGTGCTGGGATTACAGGCTTGAGCCACCGCGCCCGGCCTTTTTTTTCTTTTTTTGAGAAGGAGTCTTGCTCTGTTGCCCAGGCTGAAGTGCAATGGCACAATCTCGGCTCACTGCAACCTCCACCTCCCGGGTTCAAGCGATTCTCCTGCCTCAGGCTCCTGAGTAGCTGGGATTACAACCTGCCACCATTCCTGGCTAATTTTTGTATTTTTAGTAGAGACGGGGTTTCACCATGTTGGTCAGGCTGGTCTCAAACTCCTGACCTCAGGTGATCCACCTGTCTTGGCCTCCCAAAGTGCTGGGATACAGGCATGAGCTACTGCGCCTGGCCAAGAAAATTTTTTTTAGAGATTGGGAGGAGTCTTGCTATGTTGCTCAG